GACAGGACGTGACCCCCGGGACTCGGCGGCGGGACGCTGAGGCAGGGCCGGGAGGACGCACGGGCAGAGCCGCAGCTTGGGGGTGGGCACAGAGGAGGCTCGGGGGCAGGCAGCCCAGGTCCTCCTGGATGAGACAGGGCACGAGGGGATGCCGTGGGACGGGAAGGGCTGCCGTGGGACAGAACAGGATGAGAAGAGACGTGTTTGGATAGCAGGCGACATGGGCCTGCAGGCGCTGTCACGAGAGGGGCCAGCAGCAGGAGCGCCTCTTCTCTGCAGCCAGCAGCCCTTGGCACAGAGCCAGGCCCTGCCGCAGCAGCGCAGCCCCCTGCCCTTCGCAGGGCCGTCGCTTTCAGGCAGCAGCAAACAGGTGCCCTCCTTTTCTAAAGGTCACCCAGGCGCTCGTGCAACGGAGCACGTGCTGCTGCCCCTGGCCGGGCAGGGGGACACTGGGGGCTCTCACACAGCAGGACACGCACCAGGGCCCGTGAAGGCGCACCACGGCGGGCTCGTGTCCCTGCTAGCGCAGTGGGGCACCCACCAGGCCTGCCCACACGCAGCAGGACTGTGGCTGCAGGCCCAGGGGCTGCACAGGAGCCCCGGGACAGGGCAGCGCACCCCGAGCACCGGCCGCAGCAGCTCCTTACAGGCACTGCCACCTGCAGGCAGCAGCGCCCGTGGCTTCTGTCCCAGCCTGGGCGTGGGGACAGCCATGAGCATCACCCACACACGTACCTGCTGTCATCCCAGCTGGCTTCAGTTACGGAGGGCTCCACCAAAAGGCCTGTGCCCTCTCATCCCCGTAAAAGGGGGGAGAGCATCCTCTGAACGCATGAAAATAACAGGCAGGAAACTCCACGCAGCAGAGGGGAGGTTTGAAAGCTTTTATTTCACTGCTGACAGCGGGGCTGCAGCAGGCAGCTGCTCACGGGGCTGCCGTTCGCTGCAGAGCACATCCCTCCCCTCGAGTCACCATCCAGGTACAGTTGGTGTCTGCTCACCTTTGAGGACCTACATTACACACAGACCTACATCACTGGGACATTCACCTGTTAGGGACACAATTTAGATTAAAAAATAACGCAACAATCTACAAAGTAACATAGGGGGGCGCCATGCAGAGAACCAGGTGATTTTAGAGTAGGTGACAGAGCGGTCACCAGGTTGATCCGCGGTAGACAAGTGCCATCTGCTTCCCTGCTACTCCAAAGAGGAGCCAAGACGGGCTGTGCTTCCAGCCGGGACGAGTGTCCCGTTCCCCATCCAGCAGCAGGAAACACTTTCACACCACAGTTTGCACTTCCAGAACTGCACAGGATCATGTGCTCTTAAAAGGTGCTGGGGAGCCCTGAAACTTCTTTCCGTGGTGGTGCCCATTCCCCACACAGTGACAGAAACAGGCACCCAAGTGCAGAAAAGAGCAGAAATGCCTGAGCTGCATATTTTCTTTTCTTTTCTTTTTTTTTTTTAAAAAAAAAAAAGCTGACTGATAAAATGTTATTCCTAGCACAGATGGACAAAAATCACATTACATTGGAACTATATAGATTGGCCCATGAGAAATAAGCAGCTTATATACTATTGTCCCACAGGGAGTTCTTCCTTCAGCTACAGCTTCAACTTCCCAAGTGAGGTAGGGAGAGGGTGGCAACAAGGGAAAAAAAGGTGACATTTCCAAAGGATTCCACTGCTTTGAAGTTGTTACCTGCCTGGATCCTTCACAAAGTTAAAACATTCGTTGAGGAAACACTGCCTTTTTTTTCACAGCAACATTCAGAGTTTGGGGGGGTTTTTTTGGTTGTCTGGGGTGAAATGAAGAGGGAGAAAAAAAATAAGCATCCCAGAGATGGCAGTTTTGACATGTTTTGGAAAGCACAGCTACAAAGAGGAAGGAAATAACAAAGTGAATCTACAGATAGAAGGGAAAAAAAGCAGAATGCTGATATTGCCTGCTCCGTGCCTGCTCCAACAGCATTTAAGCACCCTGTTCTTAACCCCATGGAAACAACTCTCATACACAGCTGTTGGGAGAGGGAAAGTGGACACTTAGAAACCTGCAGTTTAATTTTGTAGGAATTGATAATGGAGAAGTCTTCCAATGCCTCTCCTAGTACTAGCCAGAATGTTATCTTAAGGCATAATTTAACATCCATTTGTTGCTAAAATAATTGGAAGTGTAACAAGCAAAGTTGTCAGAAAAGAACTCAACAACAGCTAGTTCAACAGATGTGAAAGCAAGCATCATATGTACAGTGCAGAACTTGCCTTCAAACAGGGGAGTCTTGCCTTAAAAAAAAAAAAGAGAGAGCAAGAGAGAGAGAAAAGAAAAAAAACAACCCAACAACTCCAGACCCAGATTCTAGAAAAGCAAACATTGCCAACACAAGGAATGTTCATTAGAGTCCAGTTCCCACTAGAGCTACGCAACAGGAGGCCGTACAGCGTGATTCTGCCACCTTGCACCCACTGACTGCTCCCAGAGCTCACCCCAGCAGGGGTGCACAACTCCGGGAGGTCAAACTCTACAGTCCCCTAGTGCAAACTGTCTCAGAGGAGAAGCCTGTAGTCAACAAGCCTTTATACCTACGGTTAGGATTCACTAAGACGTGTAGTACTCAGGTGTCACCTAACATTTCCAGGACATTCCCAGAAAGGTGAGGGTCCTCTGTGGATTCTAATGCACATCCCCGTGAACAGTGTCCTGCACAAATACACCTGCCAGGCTACAGGCTTTCCCTCTTCCGTGACTGCAACCAGCTCACAGCCACCAGAACCGCACATAGACGATCAACATGATAAAAAACACAGCGACAGCTGCAAGTTTGGCGTAAGTGGAACGCATGTTCAGGTACTTTGCATCCTGACGGTACTTCTTGGACAAACTGGACAAGTTGTTGGCCTTGGAATCAAGAGCTGTTAAAGGGAGAGGGCAGAGAAGTTAGTCCTGTGATTAACACAACCAGATGTTCCCCAAATCTTACATTCCAGGAGCTGCTCCGAAGCCACGGGAAGTGCAGTGGTCCCACAGAGCAGCCTGCCTTGTGCTACCTGCAGTGCCTGCCCCACTAGAATAAGGGCCACCCAAACACGGAGACACTACTGCTAGCTGCTGGGGCATGCAGCCGATGAAAATGAAATGCCCGTGGGCTCCGTTGTTTTCTCAGGAGATCAGGGATTGGAAAGTCCTTCCCTGAGGAGCGCCTTGTCCGCTCAGCCACCAAGGCACCATACCCCACAGCGGAGCCGCCCCCGTACCTGAGAGCGCCTCTCCTCGCTGCAAGACCTCCTCGATGTTGGCCACCATAATTCTCTGCACGTCCTGCAGCTCTGTGTTGATGGAACCCAGGTTCCTCCGCGCCCGGCTGTCAATGTAGAGCTTCTTGGTTTTCTGGATGTAGGTGTCTGGAACAGGAGGTGACTGTCAGAGGAAGGGTTGATTTCCCCCACTGCTTGCTTTGCCAAGCACAGGAACCATAGAAAGGCACCCTCAAACAGGGATATGAAGGTGTGTGGGGTCCAACAGCATTCAGAGTTAGCCTAATGCTTCTTTTGCTGGGAAGTGGGAATGGATGGAGTTAAACAGCACAAGAGAGTCCTTGGGGCTCCTTGTTACACTGCTCTGCAGGGGCTGTCCCACCAGGCCAGTGGGGCCACAGTCCAAGAGCAAGGAAGGGTGGCTGAGACCTTCCTGCTGCATGGCCAACAGATCCAGAGTTCTCCTTCCTCTTCCAACACCCTAGCGGATACTGCTTCCCTCGCACTTTCATCCCACTCCCTTTCATCAAGGGCTCGAGTGCGCTGGAGAGAAGCTAAGAGTTAGAGAGACTCAAAACAGGGAAACTGAATCAAAGCACATTTACCATTTCCTGCTATTTCTCTACTTGCAAGTACTTCCAGCTCAAAACACTCATTTTTATAGTACCAAAAGGAAGTTGAAGTGGCATTTCCTGAAGCCAAGCTCAAGAGGATCCCTTGGCTCCTCATTCCCACCCCTCCAAGAGGTTTCCCAGCTAGCCCCAGGGGGAGGGACCTCACCAAATTCAATGAAGGAATAGGGCCTGGAGACCGTTGGCACCCTCTTGCCATGTTGTTCATCAAATTCTGAGTGCAAGTCCTCCAGATATGCAAAGGCCAGTTTCTTGGGGAACGCAGCTTCACATAGGACCAGGTAACACACCCCCTTCTCAATGATGTAGCTAGGAGAGCAGCAGACACAGCATTAATCAATCAATTTTAATCAATCCTACCAAACATGTCTTTTCTTCTGCACATTAGTTTTCTTGTAGCGTCAGACCCTGTACTCACTCTAGGGGCCCTCAACATTGACTTCAGTGGCACGAAAGTCGGCCTGTGAGTATCACTAGCTTAGAAAATACGTATCTGCAATAAGATTTCTGATTTTGGAGTAGAAAAGCAAGGACACTCTCACACCTCCCAGGCCTTCTGCAGCCAGGAGGAGGAGGGAATACAAGAGCGCTTGCACCGAGCAGGGAAAAAGGCAACAGAGACAGCTCTAAGAGCACAAACAGGCACCCAAATTTCACAAAGAGCAAGCCCTGAAATCAGGACACCAAAGGAAGCTGGTCTCAGGGGGCACTTTCCTCTTTGAAGGGCTGGGTGTCCCTTCCTCCTCAGCACTAACCTATCGGTGGCTGCTGCTTTTCACTTGCACCATCTGCAAGGCAGCTGGGGCAAAAGCATCAGCGCTAGGAGGGATCCCACGAGTTCGCGTGCAGATGTGCAGCCTCCAAACGCAGCCACGGTACCAGCTCTTGTCCTGCAGTGCTGGCAGCCTGAGAACTGCTGCTCCTGGCGAGGACAGAGGTTGGGTTCTCACCCTCCCGTCCCCTCCATTCCCCAATTCCCTCTCGCTCTTGGTGCTTAGCCCTGACCTTGGCTCAGGACACAATCCAGTGCCTCTGTCAGCACTCCAGAACAGGGGCTTTTCATTACAACTCAAGTAAAAAGCCTGCTGAAATATCCAGTAAAGTGGAGCCAGTCTTGAGATTTAGACCTGGCTAGACAGAAAAGTGGCTATTTAGGCTTTCCTGCAACTGTCTACTGTTGTGCAATCCCTACTATGTTTTCCTCCTTATTTGGCCAGTAGAAAAACAGAGGGAAGAGTATTTCACCTAGAGCTAAGGTAGTGGAGATGGCAGATAGCCCTGGACATACTCACAATGTTTATTCTCGGAGGGGGGGATTAAAAACTGCTTTTACGTTACCCTCCTTGGACTCGCCGCCTAGCACCAGCACGTAGCAGTCCGATTAGCATTCGCATTAACAGGGTATTAGAAAACTAACCCAGTTATAAGGCTACTGTAGTTAACTAAGTACCTTAAAACATAAAACATGCTAGTAGATGCATCAAACTTCCATCTCTTTCCCACCATCCCTTAAAATACAAATCCTTTGAATTACAAGCCTATAAAATAACTTCTACCTCTTTCCCACCATGTTTCCCACTATCCCTTAAAATACAAATCCTTTGAATTAGCCATTCTCTACTTGTAGTTTTGAGGCTCTAGATTATTCTCTTCTGCTGTCTCTATAGCCTGGATGCAAACATAGCCACACTGCAAAGAACAACTGAACTGCCCATCCTGAAGGAAGACATTGGAGCTATACCCCTTTATGCAAGGGTGCCTGTGCAAGAAACTCTTCTGCCCTTTCCATGCCCTCAGCTTGAGCTGCTGCAGCCACAGCTCCACAGCACATCTCGCACCCCTGATCCTCCCTCGTCCTCAGAGACCTCGTTGCCAGCTCAGGTTTTCCCTGCAGCATCACCTGGAGCTTCATTTGACCATGGTCACGGGCAGAAAAGGTCTTTTAAAATAAAGAAAACCCGTGTGAGGCAGCAGCGCTCCCCGAGAGCAGCCCTGCCGGGAGAGCTGCGCGCTCGGCTCAGGCCGGCCATCCTGCCCACGGCTTTCCAGCTGCCTTTCCCAACTGGCTTCTCCCTGATGCAATACTAGGAGCCTTGGATCCAACATCAACCTGCCAGCAGTGCAGACAGCAAACACCGCACTCTGCCCTGCACTGGAAAGTTTCATCAACCTCAACACAGCACCGAAAGGGGGTCCCTGCACCGCTGCACTTGTCCGTTCCGCACTGCAGCTGCTTGGGCAGCTGCTTGGCAGGGCTGCACACAAGGGCAGACACCACAGCTGGCCACTTACGACTTCACTACTCCAGATTTCCACACAGCAGCTTTAGCAACTAGATTTCCTATATTTATTTTGGATCTTTTGAAACAGGAAAGCTTAATCCCTATAGCCGGTACCAGTGGCAAGGGCCAAGGGTTGTTTTCAACGTGATGGGTTAGGAGCAGTTATGCCATTAACCAGCCAAAGGTCACCTAATGACGACTCCACAGGTGCTGCTCTACCTGCATGGCCACGTGTACCGAGTATCGTGCCTGAAAGGGTAGCACAGCTCCCAGATCTGAAGTCTAATTGTTACATTTAACAGAACCTGCTTCAGCAGCCCTGGTTTGAGCTTCACATTTCATCCACGACACAAGTCTTTTCTCTGAACTGACCAAGCAAAAAACATTCACCATCACTTCAGCAAGTTCAGCAATATCCTCAGCCGCACTTTACATTTTGCACCACAAAACGCTCTGTCCTGCTGCCTGCAGCAGCCAGAGCTCTGATCTGGCACAAGGGAAGATGTGCTGCATGGTCACCAGTCAGCATTATTGCAGACTAGGGCTCAGAGGCCTCCCTCTCTTCTCCTTACTGTAGCACGATTACAGGAAGTACCTTTTTAATGACCCCAAAGTCATCTTCTCTTCACACAGGTCCTGTCTTAACATCCTCGCTTAAAACCGAGCCCTCACTTGAGTGCTGTGCAGCTGGGGACTGACTCAGGCCAGGGGCAAGACGCTCCTTTCCTCCCTGCTCAGGCAGCTGGGCACAATCCCCGCTGCTTTTCAAACCACGAACCTGCCCAAATTCCGCTGGTGCTGCTGAAACCACCCATAGGAGATCCTGGTTTCCTGGGCAGCATAAACTGAAGAGCCTTCCCGGACGTTTTTCATGTAGGCCTAGAAGCAGCGCAGCGAGGGATGTGCTAGGCACCGCAAGGGCTCTTTCCCAAGCCCCCAGCATCAACCAGAGACACATGGGGATCTCCGAGTGCGGTGCCAGGGACACATTTAGGACCTGGCAGCTCTCTAAAAGACTCTGTGCAGCACTTTGCAGTTAACAACGCCCCAATCGCACCAGCACTACTAGAATCAGTGCCCCAGGCACTCCCCTGTAAGTCTCTGTTATCAGGGACAACCAGAAGCCGGAGAAGGAAGGAAAAAAATCTTGTAATAGTCAATCACAAGAAACACTCGCCTTGAAACACCAGAGCTTTTGCCCAAGAGGAGGCCGACAGCCCTTTGAGAAGCTTCCCCCTTCCCAAAAGCTGGAGTACGAGGTATCCCCGCGCAGCGGGAGGGCTCCTGCAGCTGGGCAGCCAGCAGGACGGGCGCCCACACGGCCAAGGGGCGCCCGCACGCCTCCGCCTCGCTGCTCTTGCAAACCAGGAGCTGCTTTCAGAACAGAATCACTTCTGCTCAGAGTTTGACTTGCAATCTTGGCCATAGGTCCTCCAGCAATTTGCCCCTTAAGCAATTAAAGGCTGTGCTAAAGCAAGAAGCCCT